TCAATATAGTCGTGGATATGGCGAGCCAACATGGTCCATTCACGTTTGTTTTGGTTGCTTCGCTGTGTCTACTGAGAAAGGCTGGGTAGAACCCTGAAACACCACTTACCCGAACATCCTCCAAGGCCGTAATCAATGTACCCATGGTCGCTTTGAGAATTCCTAGCCAAGGAGCTATATCAGCAGTTCTTCTCGCTACTTCTGCCACCTTAATAGCTTCATCGACTGCGACTTCAATCTCCTTCTTAGGGAATGGTTTCACCGTCCTTACTTCGATCGAAAATTTAGAGCGTTTTGGCTGACTGGGAGATGTACCGCGCGATCCTGCTGAAGTGCTCATTTGATGGGAGGGATCAAGGTCACTTTAGGTCAATCCTCTTGTCAGGCTACTGGCCCCAAGCGTTGGACAGCCTCCAAGGAACGTTGGCATGCCGAGATGTTTTAAATACCAGACGCCAATCCTACATATACCGAGATAAAGCAACTCTGATGGATATATACCCAAAATAGCGGTGAGAATACGTAAAATTCGATGCTCCTCCTGAACATCGGAGTAGTTCCCGTCAAGACTCCTCGAACGGTAAGGTCCAAACCAAATGAACATATATATATAGAATCATCCCAAGATAGCTAAGCATGAACTGAGTAGGAGCCCACGGGATGAACCATGATTTCGGCTCGAGAAGCATTCTATATCGCCTCGGACTACAGACTTAAAAGGGCCAAGACCCTAATATATCCCAGAGCGATAATCCCGATATACTCGTAAAGACTTTCTCACCTCTAGGCATTATTGAACCATAAAGTTCTCAGTATGGTACAGAACGAATATGATAGTCAAAACGATGACGTTTGACATAAGCGCTATCCAGCCGAAATATAAAGTACGCCACAAGCGCCCAGTTATATTCAAGAGGCACGCGAGTCTCCCTGGTAGATCGAATCGTCAATTCTTTGGATAGAAAGGGGAACAGTAGAGACCACTCGTGGGATGGAACCTGCTAGGTACGCAAGATGTAGAAAAGGAAGGCGTCTGTGTTGGTGTTGACTGTATCTTCTGGGTCAGTACGACGCCATAGATAATGGAAATCTCGGCAGTATCACTGGCCGTTTCTAAACTCGTCGGCTCATTGCCAAAGGCCAGTACTAGACAGTCATCCTCAATCTCAACAGTACCACCGACAACGAGGATACCATGGCGATAATTTAGAGCATATTTCAGCGAAGCAGATTGATTTCGGTCATGTATTTACCCCAAATTGATGAGTTGAAACTTTCCCATCGCCACCTTCCTTTCTTGGAGATTATCCCGTAGCTAGCTGCTAAAGCGCACCAAAAGGTGAAATGCAATTTCTTTGGTACTTAAATGACCTCCTTTTCTTAGTATGGAATAAGGTTACTATGGTGTAAGAACGGACAATATATGAAGAATTGCGATATTAACCGTATAATACAATCACATTGAAAGGAGCCCTTGCATGCCGATAGTGATTCTATGAGCCCTGCAGCGAAACCAGGTGTAATGGAAGTGGCTTGCAATCTGTGGTGCCTCAAGCAGGTTTACGCAATAGGATGCTAGTAACAAGGGCATCCCAATCGCCACTATTTGTATGCCCTTTGGTGATGACAATGCTATCGTCGGCAATCTCGATGTCAGCCTCCTCGCTATCTTCTGAGACGCCTGTCGCGGTAATACCAAACGTCACTAGCTGAGAGGTATCGCCAATTTTGACGCGGCCACCCGAGGAGATAACGCCACAACTATCATCTACAGCATTTTTGAATGAAATTTATCACTGATATATGAGTGTATTTACCTCCTAGAGTGATAAGCTTGGACCTTCCTGTCATTGTAACCTTGCCCTTCTTGGAGATTATACCGCGAGCAGATCCTGGAACATGCGTTTTGAATAAAGGGATGAGGCTCCTGGGTAGTATACTCACCCGAGTGTCCTAGTTCGGTCACGGTATCTTCTACCTTTTGCTCGGTCGGATCTTCAGGTTTGGTGGCTTCGATAGGCTCAGACTTGGAGCTCTGTGGTGAACCTGGTCGTGATGGGTCTTCTTTGATCTGGGAAGATAGAGATTGGGCTTTAGCCTTCTTTGCAAATAGCATTGTAAGGCTTCTGGGTGTGGGGATCTGTAGAACCTAGGTCGGATTGCTTGTGATTTTATGCCTTTGACCACGCTAATATATGACCTCTTCCATGAGGCTTGATCTACCCCATGCTCAGCGCACTGTCACTGTGGCATCACTTGATCGCCTTGAACATGCTTGATGGAACTTCGCACCACCTTGTAACAATGTGATGGACTTCAAAACCATGGTCGGCTAAAAAGACGATCATTAAGGGCGAAAGAATCACGAGTCTTCCCTGCTCTATTGCCGCTTCTCTTGCTTTGTTCAGAATTGCGGGATTCCTTCGCATGCATCAGAATAGGGTCATGAGCTCCAGAACACAACACTGCGATCCGACATTGCATAAAGTTGTACGAGGCGGTGCTTGCATGCGCAAATGGTGCGTAATAGACGAGGCCTTTGCCAGTCTCCAGGCAAGGTAGGCGTCAAAGGGCTTCTCAGAAGACTCATCTCCCAGGGAGAAACATGGCCGAAAGTTTTGATCTATTACATTCAATTTCGAAACTGAAACCATCATCTACACCATGCATGTACACACACAAATAGATCGAGAAAAAGGAAGGGAACAGCCAGGGTCAAGAGCTCTACCCCAGACTCGGAACCCCGCCTCACGGGAGTAAGATTCTGATGGTATTCCGTTCCCCCTATTTTGCGAGCGCGTCGACGATAGCTAACTTTCGAGAGAGATAGAAAACACCAAAATACACATGATTTGTAAAGCAAGGGCTTCTATATATTAGACGAAGATAGAGACAATACTTGAAGAATAAATCTAAGCCTTCCAGTGAATCTGTCCAAATTAGTATGAAAAGAGATAGCGCTACTCAACTAGATGTCACGAGAGCAGGAAGAGCTTGAAAGCCTACACCTCCTATGGATACCATGTA